TCCAACCTGTACTACATAACAGTCATCTCACAAACTGCTTTCTAGCCCAAAACAATGTTCTTCATTAATCCTTTAAACAAATCTCTATCTGCTATGCTATCTTTTAGGGCAGTAAAGTCTAACGAGCAGATCCTTCAAAACTTATGCATGTTAATAGCTTTACTCAAATCTCATTGAGTTCACAAATATAAATATTGCCACAACTCAGTTCCACTGACATGTGGATAGTACACTGAACCAGGACTCAGGAGACAGGGATTCTGTATCTGGCTCTCCACTGGTCTGCTGTAGAACTTTGGGCAAGGCGCTTTACTAGTCTGTGCCTCAGTTTTCCTCATCTGTAAAATAGGAATGCTACTGACCTACTTGTAAAGCACTTGGAAATCTACTAATGAAAAGCATTATATAAGAGCTCGATATTATTCCTTAAGTACAAGGAAGACTGGCTGAACCAATAATTAGAAATAAAATTATAACAAATTGAGGTGGCCACAATATGATACAGATAAACCAGTGCATCACCTGTGAAAGGATAGCGTGACCCTAAAATCTATAATAATTCTTTGAACATGTCAACAATATATTGGATAAAGGAGAACTAACTAGAATAATTTTATTGCATTTTCAAAAAATATTTACCAAAAATCTAACTCCAGAAATTCTTAAGGTAACCAAGTAATCATGAGAATAAGAGAAAGTACTTTCATGGATTAGAAACTCCAAACACTTATGCATGAGTATAAATGTTTGCAGGATTGGGACCTGAATGATCCATTTTCCGCACAGCAAAAGGTTAACAGCAGGGTGGTCCAGTGTCCTATATGGGACTGGTATTTTTTTAAGACACTTTTTAGTGATCTGAAAAAGAGTGAAAAGCAAACTGGCAAAAATTGCAGATGACAATCATTTCAGTTAAAAGACAAGAAAACACCATGGAACAAGAGTTCCCAGGCAAATGAACAGCACAGGGGCAAGTAAAATTCTATGCCAGTAAGTACACAGTAATTAATACAGGAAGAAATCATTTCAACTATCCATCCATACTGCTAGGTTCTATATTAACTGTGCACACTCAGGCAAAAGAACTATACTACAGGATGGGAAGATCTATGAGAAATTGTTCACCCTTTTTCCAGACCACTGGAATGCTAAACATGAGAGAAAAATTTGTATAGCAGAGAAACAGTCCAACCACTGTGGCACTACAAAGCTTACTGCTTAAGAAAGAAAGCAGAAAACAAAATGTCAGGCTGCATAAAAAAGAGACCTGAAAATATAGCATTGGTATATACTTATCTAGAATTCTGTAACATCCTATCTCAAAAAAAAAATAAAAAAATAGAAGAGCATCAGAGATATGGACCGGCACTGAAGATACTGGGACTGTTTAGAGAGGAGACCAGTAAAAATTAATAACAAAAATAATAATTAAGTACATTGGATGTTCTTATTCTCCTTCTTTCACAATACAAAGAACACTCCATGAAACTTAAAAACACATTCAAAACTGATCAATGATTTTTTTAATATAGTATATATTAGTCTGTGGAACTCATTACCACAAGATCATAGCTGCCAAGAACTTAGTAGGATTTTAAAAGAATAAGACATGTATACATCTAAAAGTACATCTAGATAGGATAAAATTATAAGGGAACTAACTCTTCATGCTACAGTACATAAAACAACCACCCTTCTTCCCAGAAAGTTATCGTTGTCTGCTACAAAGTTCCTTGTACCTTCCTCTGAAGCATCTGATACACTGTAGAACAACACTAGTCAGACTGACAACTAATTTAATGTGACATTGCATTCCTAGGTTGCTGTATTGTGTATTCCTAGGTTCCATGTTTACATTATTCATCTGCAACATAACATAGCCCCTCATGTTAAGCACTGCGTAAATGAACAACTTCAATATGGAGGGGTTGGGGGCACCACCTTTCTTTTCAGCATCAACCACATACTGACCATTGTAAGTAACAGACTGTCAGACTATAACGGATCAATGATATGATAACTCCCATTTGCCTCAATGATGAAGGACCTAAGATGCTCTGTGGAATATTATATCATCCAACAAAACAAGGGCCACAAAAATGATTAGGGGTTTGGAATGGGTTCCATATGAAGAGAAATTAAAAAGAGTTGGACTTTTCAGCTTAGAAAAGAGGAGATTAAGAGGGGATATGACAGAGGTCTATAAAATCATGACTGGTATGGAAAAAGTGAATAAAGAAAAGTTATTTACTTATTCCCACAATACAAGAACTAAAGGTCACCAAAAGATATTAATAGGCAGCAGGCTTAAAACAAACAAAAGGAAGTTTTTCTTCACTCAGTGCACAGTCAACCTGCAGAACTCCTTGCCAGAGGAAGTGGTGAAGGCTAGAACTTTAACTGGGTTAAAAAAAGAGCTAGATAGATTAATGGAGGTTAGGCTATTAGCCAGGATGGGTAGAAATAGTGTCCCTAGCCTCTGTTTCTCTGGAGGTGGGTGACAGGGGAGGGATCACGAGGATTATCTGTTGTGATTCCTCCCTCTGGGGCACCTGGCATTGGTCACTATCTGCAGACAGGATACGGCTAAATGGACCTCTGGTCTGACCCAGTATGGCCATTCTTATGTAACAAAATGCTGTTATTTTACATAAAATACACATTCTAAAAACCTTCAGGTGAAAGTACTGTATATACTGTAGTATCTGTAAATTGCAGCATTTTTATTTGATTTAGTTTTGCATTTAACATTTCTGAAGATACAAATACACTTAATGGAATAATCTACAAAATGTTACTCCCAGATATTTGATAAATCTTCTCTAGCTCACCTTTCTATAATTTAATTATGTCTGAACCAATGTAAATCTAATGGGAGAAATACAAATGTGATCCTGAATTGAAACGCTGAGCCCAATCCTGCTTGTCTGACTCACATGAGTAGCCTCTCTAGCCCTGGTGAGAATCATGTGGGTGGAAACCTTGCACCCACAGAGTCCACTGAAATCAGTTCAATCATAACCATAAGCCCCATGAATGCTTCTTTTTAGTTGTGTGACTGTTTATTGTAAAAATGTGTCATATACCCCCAGACTTAGATATACAGCTCAGAGAATGATAGTGAAAACTTTCAATAACTATCCTGACAGACAAATGAGTAAAGAAACAGTACAGCTGCTAGCACACAAGTAACTTCCTTTTTGTCATACTCTATGGTTGTGCCTAACAGTTTTTTCCATCTCATTTGAGAGCAGCTATTCCACAGAACATATTTTAAGTCCTCCATTATTCTATCCATCACTCTTCTAATGGCAGCAAGTAAGGAGGAGCAAGAGCAACAGCATTCACCACCTTTCATTTTCCCTTGTACTGATCTACACAGCAATCTAATGTATCTATGGAGAATGCTAGCCCCTCTATTGCAACTTTATAAGCTCCCTGCTGATTAGAATTTCCCTTCCCAACCACTACTTCCCTCTGTTTTGTCACTGGTATTTATATAAAAATGAAAAAGCCATGAAAACAGTTCAGCAATAAAATACCTTCCCACTCCTTCTCTGCCACAGACTATTGACTAGAGTAATTATTCCTTCATTCCGTTACTAAGGAGGTTCCTCTGTAGTGATCCATTACAGGGGACTGGGTTAAAACTTCCTCGGAATCAACTAGTACAAGTTACCACCAAAATCAGGATAGACTATTTGTTCCAATCCATTATGGCAATGCTTGTATTTCTACCTGCTCTTCACAATACTGTCCCATTATCCAAAGTAGGGAAGTGGAGAGGAGAGGAGACAGAGCTTAACTCTGACCACGGCAGCACACACACATTGCAATTACCAGGCAGATAGGGCAGGTAAGGAAGCCAGTCAATGTTATCTGTCAGAATCTGTCCTCTTCCTCTCCCTGTAGATCCACTTCTCTTTCACTACTTTTCCTAATAGATAATATATATTTATATTTGCAACACATGCATATGCATTAAATCTGATGGTTGAAAGTGGGAGGGGAGAAAGCTTGACACAACCCTCAAGACGTCAGAAAACTTACCGATCGCTAATCTGTTCAAAACCAATTATGAAGCCAGAGTCACCAGCACAATTTTCTCCAGTTATTCCTGAACACTCTGCTCAGCAACTCACAAAGAAAGGCCTTTTGTGACACCTAATATTTACTAATACCAGGGATAGGACAATCCATTTCCCGTTTTAGACAGCGAGAATAAGAAATTGCTGCTTGATCATTTTGGTTTGCCAATTAGTCACCTCAGTAATACACAACTGCAGATGAAAAGGTATCTCCTGAAAATAAGTATTAATCCATAAACCCATAGCTGAAGGAAATATTTGCTTTCAAAGTAAGCTATTTACAAACAAATCAGACCAGCAAATTGGAAGATTAAAATACCACCACACAATTAAGCTTCAATTTTTTCCATTTCAAGGCCAACAGTTATGCTATCATCCTTCCTGCGGCGCGATAAGCAGAAAGAGGAAGACAGATTCCTACATATGCAGGGTCCATAAGGTATTTGTTGGGGGTATTATTTATGGACAAGACAGACTAGATTCCAACGAACTACAATATATACACCATCCGAAAGAGGAGGCCAGGCCTTCCCTGCTTAGCAGAAACACTTCTCCTCTCCCTCACTCTGCAGCGAGAGCCTAAAAGCAAATCGTTGCAATTACAAAGGGGGACCCAAAAAAAATCCGGGTGGTTTTTGTTCTGTTGAAGGTCTCTGTCCGGAAGCACTTACAAACCACACACAGAGGCACCCACGGCTCGCTCGCCATCCGAAAGAGGAGGCCAGGCCTTCCCTGCTTAGCAGAAACACTTCTCCTCTCCCTCACTCTGCAGCGAGAGCCTAAAAGCAAATCGTTGCAATTACAAAGGGGGACCCAAAAAAAATCCGGGTGGTTTTTGTTCTGTTGAAGGTCTCTGTCCGGAAGCACTTACAAACCACACACAGAGGCACCCACGGCTCGCTCGCACGGTACCTCGCTACTGCTTCTCCGAATGCACAGACCTGCCCGGCGGGGCATCCGGCGGGGCGCAGAGAAGTTGGCTGTCGCGATGCGCACTCACCCGCCGCTGCCTTTCCTGGCCCCTCGCTCCGCCAGCTCCTTCCTGCGGGACGCGCTGCGCCGCCCCCGGGGCGCC